TGGGTTGAATTTATTTTCAAACGCCAATAGTCAGATTTAGAACAGGTGAAGGGTTTCAGTCCAAAATGTTCTGGACTACGTCCTCCAACTATCTCTGACAACATTTCATCAGAAAAAATACCAAAATCTGACTGTTTGTTACAAATGATCTTAATAGAACTTCAGAGTTTATCATGTGCTTTAGTGTTTTTACTTTAATAGTTGATGTTTCACATTAACTTACTTTTAGCTTTTGATCCAAGTTCTTTTGTAATCTCCACCCCCTGAGTGTTAACTGAAGCGACCCCCACCCCGTAACCTGTGGATGCAGCCCTTTGTAGGAACACTCAATGGACGCCGCCTCATATCTCCCAGTATCGAATAAACAGTCATAGAAGTCCTGAAATCAGTTTTAGGCAGATAAACATCCCATAAAGGGCAAAAGGTCCTTGTTTACAAGTACTTCCATTGACTTTGGATGTGCATTTAGCAACACTTCTGTCTGTCTGTTTCTCTTTTGCTGTCATCGAGTGTAACCGAGGGTTTTTTGAATCATCCAAAACTGACGGCCTTTAGTTACTGGACTTTAAAAAAAAGCACTGAAGTCTCAATAAAAGATCTAAAATTAAAGTATGTAACTTAAGGCTGCGCTAGCATGAACCTCCAAACCAACCCACTCTGCTCTGCCCAGCGCTCCCTCGCCATGCTCCACTCTGCTCTACGACAACCCGCCACTCTCCGCCCAGCTCTTCACATATTTGTAGAAAGTGAGAATCTCTGATTGATTAGAGAAGTTAATCCTGCTCAAAACCTTTTAAAAGCCAAAATCTCTGCAATGCTGCCATTGCTCAATGAGTCTGGGTCACAGGAGGCTTCGACAGCTCCCCTCCACACTGAGACATGTTTTGGAGCAGATTTCTACAACAAAAATATATATAAAGAAACTTACATACTGTAGGTTAACTAAAGTACTGAAAGCTTTTTTGTCTCCAGAGCCATTTGTCTTGGAACAACACTTGAGATCATCTTAAAACAAGAGCAGTCGACTTCCATTTGCTCAGAATTAGGCCAATATTTCACCCATTTGTAGAAAGATTCAGGAAGTTACTTGTTCAGATGGACATTTGTCGCAGTGTTTAACCAATCTGTGACAACTGGCAGTGGTGTAATGGAGGCGTTCAGGGTGAAGCCTAAAGTCGATGGCTGTTCCTTTCTCTAATGCCATCTGTCACTGCAATTACCTCTGACACCTGATGAAAAATAAATGGGCTCACAGTGCGTCAGGCTCTCCTGCTGCATGTGTGTCATGTGGATGAGTTTACACACATGGCACCAGAGGTTAAGTAGCTACTGCTGACCTTGGACTGGCAGACCAGTTGTCACCGAGCAGCCTGGTACTTGGCTGAATCTACCCATCTGTGGATCTGTGTTCCTTTCAAAACAGAGATGTAACAGAGAAGTGTTTCCTTCACCATCTGCTGCTTTTTATGTAATTATTAGGATGTTTGAAAGTGTTCAGAACAGGAAACATTGATTTGGTGGTTTGGAAGTGAAAACATGGTTCAACATTTTGCAGGTCTTTGTAAAAACTAACAAGATTGAGCCCAGTTTCAACCTGGACATCTTGTGACTGGTGAATTTATGGTTTGAGTCCTTGAAGGAGCCTCAATCAACACAGTGATAGAAAAATAACGAATGAGCTCCCCTGCCTTTCCAGCAAGGCAATTAACCTCCGGGTACTGCACTGAGGCTGTGCACATGCACGATTTTTTTTAAACTTGTGAATCAGAGTGATGCTGAAATTAAATGTGAAAAAGAAAATTTCCCTGCAGCCCCCACTGCACCACTGCTGGAGCAAAAGTAATGACCATTTTTAAGGCAGTTGCCACGAACGTGCACATGTCAGGTGTTTTATGACTGTTTATGATATTGGTACAGTCATTATGGCAGCTAGATACCACAGGCTCATGGCTCATTACTGGTGACGTATCCCATACTCTTACAACTCAGATATTAATCACGCCTCTTTTCCGTACCCCCACCCTTTATCCCTCCTCTCTGAGGTTTTAAACTGGCGTCGTTTTCCTGTTAAGTGTATCTGAGTTGCTATCCCTGTCTCTTTTGGCTGTCAGTCGGTCCAGGGTTCCCACGTTGCCCCTGTCCCTCTCCATGGTGGCTGTGGATATCGGGGCTGGCTGGGTCGGTGTGGCGTCTGACGTGGAGGTGTTCACCGGTGCTGTTTTCTGGGCTACAGCTGCTGCCGCTGCCAGGTTGGACTTGGAGTGAGATGGCAGTGTACTGCTGCTTATCGCTGCTCCCCCTCCTCCTCCACCACTGCCGCTGGAATCTTTTGGGAAGTAGTTATGGAGCTGGTACAGCGTGGCGCGGTCCACCGTGCCGTAGAGGGGTGGGGCACCGCCGCCCAGACTGCCCAGCTTGGAGTCCCTTGACAGGGTATACATGGAGATGTCGCCACCTCCGCCGCTTCCACTGCTGGTGTGGTGTGGGTTCGGCAGAGTGGCCACGGAGAATGGCGGGGCGGAGGGGGGCAAGCTGAAGGTCTTGGAGGTGCCGACGGGTGAGGTCTCCTGCGAACGTGGCGGCTCAGTGGAGCGTGAGCTGGAGCGAGAGCGCCGCCTGAAACGATAGCTGGGCAGCCGCAGCACGGCGTGTGTGGTGCTCTTGAAGAGGTCGGTGCGAGAGCGACAGCGCAGCTCCTTGTTCTTCTCAATGTAGATATTGACGGCGAGGACACCCACCATCTCAGCCAGGATGAAGGACAGGCCGCCGAAGTAGAAGGACCAGCCGTAGGAGTAGTGCCACTTCTTATCCTCATCTTTCTTAGGAGAGATGTCACTCAGTGCAGCTGAGATGTACACAATCACTCCGATGATGTTGCTGAGGCCTGAGGAAATACACAAGACGTCTAATTGCTCCTGAGAGAAAAATCAACCTGCAGCTTCATTACACTGTTTTACAGGAGGGACTGAACTGCTTCCTTTCAATTACACAGAGGAAACAGGCACAACATGAGTCAGTCTGCACTTTAAAAACATGTTATTATGCATTATTTGACCTGAAACATCTACATGATAAATAGCAGTTTCATTCTGGTTTTAAGGGGAATAAGACAAAATGGAAGGCTAAACACTGAAGCAGCATTCTGAGTTGGTCTTTTACTAAAATTGTAACCTATATTTATTCCTGTAAGCACATCCAGAAGAAACTTTTCTCCAAGCACAGAAGTCTCAGCTAAGCTTTTGTCTCACCTGCAGCTACAAAGAGAATCCCTCCACCCAGAACGATGTTCCTTTTGCTCTTGTAGAAGCCACTGGAAGCAACACACACCCCACCCAGCAGGAGCAGTATGGCACTGAGGATGGGGAAGATGCTGGACGCTCGCACCACTCCTGTAGATTGTGACATTGGCAAGGACATATCAACCTTGTGGCTGCAGTGTCAGTGTTTTTCAGTTGTTGGTGGAATTACTGTGTTTCATCTGTGATATTCTGTAGTTTTCTAACAAAGTGCGATAGTGAGCTTTCTGAAGGTGCAAAGTTAGCAGCCTCGTGACACTCCAGGAAGAGAAAGTGTTACCGAGACTTGCTACAGCTGACACTACAACTTGGCAGTGGTACAGCAGCAGCAGATAGCTACTTATGCAGGTTTCCTACACAATGTCTTTTGTGGCTCTAAAGGAGTTTTATCAAGACTGAGTAAATTCTTTTAACGGCATCTGTTCAAGACAAAAAATGTCAAAAGGAAATGCTGCACTATAACCTGGGATGTATGTGTGGGTTTATTAGGCAAAGAAGGATTTATGAAAATGTGCTGTTGAGTTGCATCCTGCATCAGTGTTGGCCTTTTGTTATTCCCCATACTTTATAAAATTACAATACAGAATTACTGGAATTTGCTTTAACCAGTGCTTGGTTTTTAGGTTCAATGAAGCTGGTCAGAGCAGGGTCATGTGCAACAGCAACCTGCAGGAAGCAGCTTTGGTCTGCCTAGCCACTATAAAAACAGATCTTCACTAAAATAGTGACTGGAAAATCTACCCCACTGAGTACTAGAGTACTACTAGAGTCCTACAAGTTCCTGGGCTCCGCTATCTCCCAGGACCTGAAGTGGTCACCCAACATCAGGACCATCATCAAGAAGGCACAGCAGAGGATGTACTTCCTGCACCAGCTTAGAAAGTTCAACCTGCCCCAGGAGCTGCTGATACAGTTCTACAGAGGAATCATCGAATCTGTTCTCCACACCTCCATCACTGTCTGGTTTGGCTCAGCAACCAAACAGGACAAGAACAGACTTCAGCGGACAGTCAGGACTGCAGAAAGACCCATCGGTGCCAGCCTGCCCTCCATGGAGGACCTGTACACCTCACGGGTCACCTGGCCAGGAAAGCTGATTCTGATATAACATGGGTGAATGGCAGCAGGTATGAAACATAAAATCAGTTACATTTTCTAGTAACAACAATCAAAAAGAGCCTGTCTACTGATTCACAAGCACTGCTGCAGCTCAGGACCTTCGGGTTGCATTAAGTCATCTGAAACCCCCTCTGTAGGAACCTCAAACCTCAAAGCAGCAATGCCAAAAAGCTCCACCTTAGTTTGGAACACAGAACAGCAACGCCTTCAACTTTTGAAGGTGACTTTTCAAGCTGTGTTAGCTTTTATTTGTCTCTGGAGGGAGAAAATAAAGCAGTGGTAAGCATATTATCATAGACACTTCTGTCAGACATCAAACAGCTGCTGCAGATGAGTCAGTTTTTAAGTGGAAGACACTGTTTATTGTCTAATAAACAGTAAGACAAGCTGCTGAGCCGAATTTAAATATGGGTTTGTAGTGATTTTTTGACCTTCAGTGTGGTCAGTTGCTGGTTTCCTACTGTCTGATGCCTCAACTAGTCAAGAAATAAGTGTTTCCTCCAAAAGGCATTGGAAGTACAGCTGGAATGATTAGTTAACTAATAGGTTGGGATTTCATATAAAAACAATATTTCATTTTGCAAACAAAGTCTTAGATGTAGGAAAATCTGTACTGATGTAATGTTAATATCTTGGAGGTTTAAACTTGTGTTGAAGATATCCCCTTGGACTCTGGGATTTTTTTAAATTTTGCAAACAAAACATTTAAACAATCGTCAATGAAAAAGTTGCATCTCAAGGATTTCAGAGGAATTTGGTGGAAGAGTCATAAGAAAAAAGTTGCTGGTGCTGATCTGGGAACTTTTGAAACTGCAAGAGGAAGCATTTTTGAAAAATTTTCATTATCATCTCATTAACTATAGCAAATGAAAATGCATCCCAGGTTTGTCTATTACTCTGAATTTAAGACATTTTTTTTTATTAAAACAAGTTGTGAGGATTGTGTAGCCTTTGCAAAGGTAAAAGCTTTTCTTGTTCAGCCAACAGACACACAGCTTCCTTCACAGAAATAGATGCCTTTATATAATATATGGATAGAACCTATACTTTGCAAACCAAAGGGGTAAAGGCTGTTATCACAATAGAAGCAGGATGCAAAACCTGAAGCCTGAGCTGAAAATAATCCATTAGTGAAAGCTGTTGTTTCAATCCATCTGTGGAAAAAAAAAAGCTTTCTGTACACCCCCAGTCTCCCAGCCCAATGCACCTGGGCATTAAACACACACTGTACAAACACACACACACACACCCCTCTAGGAACGCTTTGCTTGAATCTGACATCCGTGCATTGATGTCCGCCCACATACCCTTCTGTCCTTTCTTTATCTGTGTGTAATAGGGACTGCGTATGTGTGTTTCCTGTGCATGCATGCTATGTAGTGCTCACTTAGTGTTTGTGTACCAGTGCACGCTCATCTAATGTGTCTGTACACCTGTGTGCATTTGTTGTGTATTTGTAAATGTGTCTGTGTGTTTCACTCACGCAGCAAATACTCTGCAGCATCCTGGTCGTAGTCTGCGTCGTCTGGGAAATGATTGATCTGGGAACAGACACCTTGCTTCAAGCCTGAAGAAAGAAAGAGAAGAAGAGGAGGGTGAGTGAGGAAGATGGTAGAAAACAGTAGAGAGCATAAAACAGAATACAGGCAGAATAGCAGAAGAAGAAGGATAAGAAAAACAAGGAGATAAAGTTATGGGGAAATGAATGAGACAGAATAATAGACTGGGAAAATGAAAATGCTGACAGAAGCAGAGTAAAAAGGTAACACTTCAGGATATATAAAATTGTGTGTAGATAATGAGGAATGAATCAGGAGAGACCTGATGACTCACTGTTGAACACTTCCTGAATAACTCTGATTCGAGGAATATGTAGTAGATAACGATGAGTTACTAGAGAACAAACTGGGCTCTGACCCAAACAGGCTGCTCTCACAGAGGCTCACACCACTGCTGGAACGTCGTCTTTCCTGGTGTGGACAGTCTGACAGTAAAGTCACATGTCCTCATCTTCCATGTGCAGCTTTGCAGCCTTTTTTTCTTTTCACTAAGACAAGAAGAAGTTAAAATATACGTTTCACTGCTTCTACCATTTGCCATTACTAGACATTTTGAAGGGCAGTGGTTAGCACTGTCACCTCACAGCAAGAAGTTTCCTGGTTTGAGCCTCGGCAGACCCAGGGCCTTTCTGGACAATGTGGGCAGACTGAAACAAGTGTCATCCAAGAAAACCCTAAAGCCAAATAAAACCTTTTCAAGACATTCCAACATGCACACATCACGGACTCAGGATGGGAAAGAATTAGTTTATAAAGATCAGAAACTGCATTAAAGACCATTAAACCCAGTGTACAGAATGTTGGGATAAAATGGTACATCTGGGGATGATTTCTAGAAAAGCTGCGGGAAGTTTTGACACGTTTGGATATGGCCAAAACAACCAGAGCTCTTTGCAAATAAAATAACCTACAAAAACTAGAATTAAACCCTTTCTGGACGAAGATTCTGAAGCTAGAAATCCAACAAGCTAGATGTGATGAGATGCAAAGCAACATGAAGACACAGAGCGGCTGTTCTTGATGCTGTTCTCTTGTTGATGAAGACTATACTAATGTCTCTACATTAATGTAGCGATGGTAAAGTGCCACATGTCATACCTTTCAATAAAACCTTTATATCTGTGGGCAGCAGACTTTGTCTTGTATGTATGTGTGTGGTAATCTATGCACTATATATGTGCGTGCCCTGTGACACCTGTCTGACTGTCAGTGCTGGGAACTATTTAATGACTTAGTCAATGAATGAGTCACCGCTCAGATCCGGTCAATGGGGCATTATGATGAGTTTTAAGTTGACATTTATTGAGCAGTATGTGTGTGTCGAGTACGTACTGTAAGTGTGTGTGTGTCTGTGTCAAAGTCGGAGAATGAGTGCAGCAGTGGAAAAATGGGTCTCACATCACCTAGATGTACCAACACATGAGTGCAGATGATATTTTCTAGTTGTCATGTTTACAGGATGCCTGGGATATTATCCTAAAGCATTTTGGGCACAGTTACAACTATAAGGACCACACATACCTCATGTTCTGATCTGCTTGCAGCTAAGGGATTTTATTAAAGTAGATTTTAAGGTGCTTTCAGGCAGCAGGCTGCCACTTTTATGTGCTACTAATGTGCAACAGCAAATACAGTTTGAAGTTGTTAATTAACACATCTGGAAAGGCACAACAATATTGAACATATCAGTAAAATGTTGCATGTGTTTCTTGCCACTAAATAGCCAGTATCCACTGGTAATGACAGCAGCATTTTTATGGTTATGTTTAGGCGTTCACAGCACCTGGTTACGGTTTGACAAAGATCAGAGTCTGTTTTAATACAGAACAGTCCGCAGTGACTTGAGACACAATCTTTCCTCACCGGAATCTAATTGCTTATGTTGTCTACACCTACTGTATGCTAGATCTGAATGTGAACACTCTGCTGTTGAACTCCTGTGCTTTGTACATGCATCCACCCCACAAACACACACACACACACAAACACACACACACACTGCTGTCTGAGCATAATCTACATTTACATTTGTCACCACAACATAACTGGGAAAACATTTTAGTACTATGTAAATGGAATTTCTATGAGACAGTTGAGATACCAGTGGGACTAGGTCCTGCTCTGTTTTCCGTGGTATGGGACAAATGGTTGTCAAGGTGTGTCAAGGTGTATAGGCTGCAAAAGTTTAACCAGCATCAACTCATGTTGCAGCAACAATGCGAGAGAGCAGCAGTGACTGCCTGCACTTCACCTGCTAATGATTCCAGGAGCTTCAAGAGCAAATCAACCAAACAGACAAACAGAAGAAGAGCAATACTGGAAGTGTGTGTGTGCACCTGTGAGTAAGAGAACACCTATTTATGTCTGTGTTGCTTACCATGATCAGCATAGTCCTGAACAAGACCCTCCAGTTACCAGCACATGACAGCACACACATTCAGCCCTGAAAGCATTTAAAGGTTTGCACACACACCTTCCAGGCAGCAGATCCTCCAGAGGCCGGAGTGGGTCAGAGCCCCAGGATCTTTCTTGTCCTTATTGTTTGAGTCATCCTGGGATGAGTTGGCAGTGCTGTTGCAGATGAAGGCTCGGGCGTACAGCCAGTAGTCTGTACCGATGGCCACAGTCATGAGGGCGAACGCTGCAAATGCCCCCATGGTGGTCAGCAGCACCTGGATGCCTCGCTCACACCACACCATTGCTGGCCGGGGAAGGAAGCTAATATCTGACAAGAAGACACCAAAATCAACTCTGTCCACTGCTTGTGATAAAGCTCTAGTTAACAGACAACACTCAAACTGATTATTTTTGATTCTATGGAAAAACATGTGAGCTAAGCGCTGCGTTTGTAAGGAACACTATGACTCAGAACTGTACAAACTAGAAACTCTATTTCTATACAACTGCAGCAGCAAATACATTTTGAAGGAAACTGCCACCTGATGTTTAATTTCCCATTAACATAATGAGAATGTTATTTCATTTATTTCTATAACAGTAGAAATGAGTGTAGGCTTAAAAATGCCCTGGAATGTTGAATAGCCATAAAGTAAAAAAAAAAGAGAAGCTACAAAAAGCACAATAAATATTTTTACATTACAGCCTGAGCACAATTTATGCATTGAACTGTCAAATATTTATGCATTAGAGCTACTGTCCCCCATGGGCCACTGTAGGTGAGCAGCAGGAGCTTCTGGTGGGGCTGAGTCCTTCTACTGTGTTCTGGGTGAGCACACTAATCAAAAAACAGCGCACAGAGCCTGGAGCAGTAAATAAATGTTGGCAGCACACAGCCAGCGGAGGAACAAAATGCCGACCCCGCTGCATCAACAGAAATATAAGACAACAAATATCACACACAACTGAACAGTGGAGGCTGGAAGACTGACTGCAGGGAGACAGAGGGAAAATTGTCCTCAGTACATTTGTTAGTGAGTTTCTCCAAAAGATATGGGGAAGAAAACTGGAAGCATGCCTGATAATGTATTATTTCATTGGTCAGGGAATTTTCTCAGGTAGGAACCATTTAAACTGTGACCTGCCTATCAAAACCAGGAGAGATTCATATTAAGAGGCATTAATATCAGCAGAATGGGCAAGTATGGAAAGCAGTTGTCTCTAGAGGTCACTGACAAGGTCAGTAAAGGACAGCTGTGGAAAAAATACAAAAGCTTAAGTGCAGAAGACACAAAAAGGCAAGAAACAGGGAAATACACTGGAAATAGGAGAGTGAGACCGACAAGAGGAAAGTGGATGATCAGATGAGACGAGACAAGTGGAGAGGAAGGAAAAGAGGGGAGAAGAGAACGACAAGATGAAAACTGAGACACAAGACATCTGTGGTGCGAGAGGACACATAAATGAAACATCCAAAGACCATGTCGGGGCGTCTGCATACATCTAATTAGCCATCGAGCTCCTTGGTGAGATTTCGACTGAGTAAAAAGGATGAGAACCGATTCATTGTTCTGGAAGGTGTCGCAAATGGGAGGTTAATGTAAACAATTGATCGCACAGTGAATATCAATCCCACTGTGGGCTTTTTAACCACTCGGTGACTTCAGTGGGCCTACTGGCTGTTTCCATGGCAACACAGATCCCGAAATAACAGAGACCACTGGTACTCTGACCCTAACAGTGACCCGACTTCTGGTAAATGCTTAAGTCCTAAACGAACAGCAGGAAGTGAAGGAATCGCTGCAAATGTTTGGGTTTATAGAAACTACTCAGCACACAGCAGCAGCACTGAGGCAGACATAGGGAATAACACAGTAACAGTGTGACCTTGATGGTGACAGAGGGCATGACAGAATTTAAAACTATAAACTCACCAGTGTTTTGTTCTTAGCTCTGTTAATTCTGCTTTTGATGCTGTTTTATAGCCACTCTGTTCTTATAGATCGTTGTCTGTCATAGTGTTGTGTGTTTTTGTCCTGTGGTACTGGCCGTGCTGCTGTCCTGGCCAGGCCTCTCCTGGAAATGATGTTTTTAATCAGTAGGATTTCCCCTGGCAAAATATTAGTGTTAATAAAGTCAATTTCTGCTGGAAAACAAAATCATTTTGAAATCACTTGAGTGATTAGTTAAGTAAATTATATTTATGCAACAGTATCATAAATCAACTCAAGGGGATTTATATAATCTGTACAGAAAACCCTGTACCCTGTGATATATTAAATGTGTCGTCTTTTTGAAAACAGATCTTTTAACAAAGTCATTCCGTGCTAAAGTGGATGTATTATTCAGCCCGTTTTTCCCAGCAGCCACTGGTGGTACTGCAGCAATCCTCATGGGGTCCAAAAGCCATTGTTTCCATAGACCACCATGATAAAACAAATGTTTGTGAAACTGTTAACAGGACACCTTAAACTATAATGAGGTCAGTTATTATGGTAACTGCAGTATTTTTTGTGCCAAGGTGTGGAAGCACAGGTCAAAAGGCTGGACCGAGTGAGCTGTCACTGCAGGACGCCAAGGGGCCATCCCATCCCTGCTGTCTCCCTCTGTGCTGTAGCTGCTTCATATAGTTGGACTTTTAATAATCTCCCTTAGTTGCTTCATCATAGCTGAATACCTTTATTCAAGTTGTTTTATTATTTTTTTATTTTAAATGCTGTGTTCCTGCTACACCATGAACTGCCATGCTGCCCCCACCTGCTCCACGTAAGCTGCTAGTGGCTGCTAATCTGGTATTTTAAAATAAAAGCCGACTCTTTATCCTATGTCACATCCCTAACACATGAAGGAATTCAACCGTTCCCATTCTGAAAAATCTATCAGCCCAGTTACACGTTTATGCTTGTCCACTGTTTAACTGGCCTAACTGTAGAAGACTACATAGTAACAGAGAGATGCTTCAGGTTGCAGACGCAGAGCCAGTCCAGGCTTTACTGGTGATTTATTAAGATAACTTCAAGAAGAAAACCTGTGTTTCATCCTGTGTGGACAACCATCACACATCACACACAACCCTATGTATGCTGTACTTGATCCTGATTGGCTAGTTTCGTTAGGCTGGTTTTTCAATTTAAGGGAAAAAATAACTGCTGTCCAGAGCCACAGTACATGTAAAGACAACATAATGAAGATGAAATGACGTTTCAGGTGTCAGGCAGATCAGTCAATTCATTTTTACAGCATGCTGTCAACACTCCCCTCACTTATCTGAATAAGAACAAACATTTAGCTTGGTTACACTAATGCCGGTGCAGATTAATCAAAGCCACTTGTTTTCTGAATCCAGACCCTGGCACACATCTGCACTCCAGTGTGTGCGCGTGTGTGTGTATGGGTGGATTACTGCATGATTGTCTTTGTCAGTGCTTGTTTATGTGTTTATGTTTATGCTTGAATGTATTTATTCACATCCTTAGGTAATGTATGTGAATATGTGTGTGTGTGTGTGTGTGTGTGTGTGTGTGTGTGTGTGTGTGTGTGTGTGTGTGTGTGTGTATAAGAACACACATGTGCATATGGTTGTTTGTGTGTGTAAGAACACATGCACATCTGTGCATGTGTGTGCGTCTTACCTGGGGGCACATTTCTGCCTTTTGCCTCCATCTCCTCTCCGTCCTGCTGCTGCTGTTCTTCTTCGTCAGTGAAGAGTGCTCCGTAGTCCCGGTCCAAGCTGCCTCCATCCACCGCTTATCCGTCACTTTCTTGCCCTTTCCCCTTCCCTCGCTCCTCTGCCTGTCCCTCTCGTCTTATCTCTTCTTTCCTCCTCCTTCCTTTCTTCTTTCTTGCTCTCCTCTCTTTACGATAAGCACTCTTCTCCTTTTCAGCGAGCAGCGAACACTTCAGTTGGCATCCTCTCCTCTCACTGAATTGTCATGGCAGTCATCTTAGCTACTGAGAGACGGGGTGGGGGGTGGGGGGTAAAGAGCGGATGAAAGAGAGTGTGAGGAAAAACAGAAGTGGGAGAGAGACAAAAGTGTGAGAGAAGGATATCAGAAGAGGAGACAGTGTGGGGGGGTTGGAGAGGGTGGATTCAATTACTGAACGTGACATGAGTCTTGAAACCAGGCAATGCTCCTGTACAGAAGCGTCTACCATACAAACATGTTTTTTATATGAGCACGTCATGCCACTGAAACAAACAAACATCCAAAACCTGATGCCGATGGCAAAAAACCAGACCCGTGTCAAACGAGGAAGCTGGTTTGCCTCCACGGAGAAAGAGAGATATAAAGCAATAGAAAAGAACAGGCGGTGCGAGAGAGCGTGCTCTATCCGATTACCATGGCAACACTGAATTCCAAAGTCTATGGTGGAGCTGGCGAGTGTGTATGTGTTTGTGTGTGCTGGGGGAGTAAAGGGATGGATGTAACATCTGAGAGGATTTTACTGAGATTAAAAAAAAGAAGAAGAATTCCACTGGTGTGCAGACAAATACAATGCTGGATGTCATACATGACGGACACACACACACACACGGTGTCACACACAACACACACACACACACACACACACACACACACACACACACACACACACACACACATGTTCATGTGCTGGATATGGCTGCATATAGTACAGGAGGAATGAACATTCACAGGGGAGATGACAGACTTGTGAGTCATTAACACCGTGGTCACAGCGTCTCAGCATGTTTCGCCCATCTAACTTTCTTCCTGTTAGTGCGAGGGCTTAATCACAACCATTTAGCAGTGTTTCATGCTTTGAAATGCACAATGCAGATTTCACAGATCTGAAAGGCCCAAAACTAGAAAACCGTGCTCAAGGGCATTTCACCGAAACAGGAACTTTACTGCTTGAACTCACGTTCTACATTTCAACAAGCAGAATCTTCCTGAAGAGAAAACCCCTGTCAGCACCGTGACAGGGTCAGGTTCTGCTAGTTTATTTTATTTTATTTTTCTTTTGAAAGCTGTTGCCAAAAACCGCAGGACATCCAAAATCCACACGAAAGGCAACAGCAGCGACACGGCAGGGGATCCCGGGTTGTTTCACATCAACAGCATGTCTACAGGCACTTCTGAATACCAACCACCATTTGGAGACTCACAGGAAAAACGACAGCATCAGTCCTTCGTTCCAACACTCGGACACGACAGCTGTTAAAAGTCCAGTAGATGTGTCATTTATGACAGTTAGGAGCAAAGGTTGAACCAGTGCAGAGCTGATTTTATACAGCTACAAATCTTCATGAAGTGACAAACCAGACAATCTTGATTTCCTTTGGCCACAACCACAGTTTTGACTCTAAATACACAAAAGCATAGCATGTGATCACAGCCGACAGCCACACAGGCGTCAGGCCTTCTGATGCACAGGGCAGGGATCCGGGGCAATAGAATGGGAAACCTGCAAAGACCTCCAAATAGAAACCATGTGGACCCAAGAAGACTTCTAGTTTATAGTGTTGGTGGATGATGAACAGAAAGAGAGGTGTAACATCCAGACACATTTCACTCCAATGCAGTTCTCTCCCATTTAACACTGTAGCTCCTGTTGGCAAGATCTGAACAGTTTCAGCTAAACCAGTGTTTCACATGGTTCCAAAAAATTCCACATAGATAAAGCACTAATGAGTTTGTTAGCAGAGCTGCCATTCTGCAATAAAATCATTCATGTCTCTCATTTTTTTTGTAAAGTGCTATTGTGTAAACGACAAACTGCTGCAACATAAAGAGTCTCCCATTTCAGCCAAGTGAGACCCTGCAGATCCTTCTGCTGTTGTGGAGTCACTAACAAGTGAAACTGTTCTCACTGTTCTCAGTGAACAGAAAGTAATGAATCAAAATTACAGGCAGACATTAAAGCTTTTTATGGTAGCAAGTGTACAAGGAATCCATCCAGAGAACAGAGCACACACTAACGCTGGCTGAAGCTCTTCAACACCTCCACCCCCACCAAAGAGAAGACAGAATTTAGTGTTGCCTTGCAAAGTTTTTGGCTAGTGAAACCCTTTAAACTTTAAAAAGTCCAAGTGAAAGTGCCAAAGTGTGAAGTTTGCTCATGTCGCACTTAAAACATGTCCTTTACTTCGGATGTGACGTCACTGTCAGGCTTTCAAAGAGAAACTCAGAAGCTTGAATTATGGTCTCCTGCTCAGATGGAGCAACATGCAGGATGAGCAACAGACTAAGACTTATCAGTGAGGAAAACATGCTCCTTAACAGACAGTACATCTCTGTAAACATCTCCATCCTTTCATCAAGCACATAGACCTAGAACCTGCATTTCTGGACAAAAATGCTTGTGGTTATTGCATTTACACACAGTATTTCGAGGCCCTTATAAAAGCATCTGTCTGTCTATGATGCTGAAAGGCTCATGCTAGACTTGATTTTTGATAAATATCCAAATCCTGTAAAAACTCTATTTTGCCACAAGCACTTGCTAAAGGCCTTTTTAAACACATTACAGTGTTTCAACCCATCTACTACACAGGAAAAACCTGCTCAGCTTAACTTTCTTCTGGAGATGATTATAATTGAATATCACATTACTGGTATTACAGTTTGTCAAATGGGCATGGCTACAGGTGGTGGAAATGAATAAAACTAATCTAAATAGCCTCTGTAGGACACAGAATACTGTGGAGAACTATTGCTGATTTTGTCATTCAAAAGAATTCAGAGTTTTGTTAGCACAGTTTATATGGACGGCCCATCTAGTGGTCATTAGAGGACCTGCAGCAGCTGCAGTACTGTAGTCAGGATTAGGCTGATTGCTCCTTTCTTGCACCCCTTGAAAGCCCTGCAAGACGCCTAGGAGGGCCTGTAATCACTAACAAAAACCAAAACAAAAGGCAGGAAGTCAGACATTATTATTATTGTGCTCAAGCCCCCTAAAATAAACCTGCTATTCAGACTGACAGTGTGGATTACAAGGAAGCAGCACAACATGGAACAAACATGCTGAAAGGGCTCCCTGGCAGCAACACACACACAAGGCTGAGGCTGGAAATTCAAGGATGAATCAGCCATGCTCTGCATCATGAACGCAGCGACCGTGTGACTGTGAATACAGAGAAGCAGCAGAACATGGACGTACTGTAGGAGCTGGAGCTTTGCTGATTATTATGACAGCAGCATAGTCAGATCAGAGGCATGATGGGAAGGATGGTCAGGTGTGAAAGCTACCCTTGTTTATGAGTTTGGATTTACCCTGGAGTACAGTAAAAAAATGTCTGTTTATAGAAAAATGAAGAATTGTTAGGGATGCCATTTTAAAGAACCACATTGGGTCATAAATTATAACAGTTATATTTAAACACACACAATTATAGTGACATTTAGTATAGCTTTGTGAAGTTCCCCTTTGTGGGACTAATAAAGGTTCATCTTATCTAGTGCTCTCTCTCTGAGTGTGTTAGATATTCAGCACTACACTATATTTAAATAATAAAGGATATTTAGAGTTTCACGTACACATTTCTGCAGGAGTATGAGCAGAATTATGAAGACTGTGGGCCTGGTGTGCACATAAATCGACAGTATATGATAAGGTTGACCAATGACCAGTCTTCATGAAGCTGTGTATTATTTGACTATAGGTTTAAGTAAGTGTTAAAGTAATAGTGATGCTGACAGAGAGACCTTACACTCGGGATGTAGAAAGCAGGATCAGTTTGCGTCCTCCAATACTCAGAGATTTAAATCCAGAGCCCTGCTGGAGCGCGCACTCCGTGCGTCCCGCCTGCACGGTAACAGACTGTTCTCTGACAAAGGACAGAAAAATTAGCCGCCAGGCTGGTGGCATGATGTTCTCGTTTGTTATAATTAATGTGGGTTCATTTCCTTAAGGGAGCACTGGACATGTAGTGTCTCTCCGGTAGGTTTACAGTAAACAGACTGTCCGATGTCCGGTTCTTCTAACATCCCACAGCCCCGTTGCTTTTGCTGTTGTATCACATATTTTTTTTTTACATATAAAGGCCGTCTTACCTACAAAACGTCTTCACGCAGGTCTTCTTCATGTTTCTCTATGATTTCTAAACTTTGCTAGATAAAAACAGTCGAAAATTGTTTTTAAGTAAACATGAAAATGCGGAGCTGTGCCCGATCGTCCCCCGATTCGCTCCAAGTACAGAGTGTACATGTGGTGCGCTCTCCACAGGTCGAAGCATGCGTACACCGCTCCAGTGGATAGGCTGTTAGAATGCACAAAATGTAGCTACACCAGTAGTAAACCACTGCTTGTAGGTGGCATGTGTCGATTAATTATTAACTCACCTTTGCAAAAAGCAACTTTTGCTGATGTGCTGATGCGGGTGGCGACAGGCGCGCTGAGAGAGTGACAGAGAGAGAGGGATGTGAGGACTGGGGCACTTACTGTACTGTACGTGCTTCATACGTAGACTATTTTATTTGTAGATCTACTGGATCTCTAGGCTGAGTATGTGGAGATTTCTCTTAGATCTTGTAATTTACCACAAGAGGGAGATGCGCATCATTTTCCTGTTTAATAACCTCTGTATGTTTCAGGGCCCTAATTTATTTCTGGTCCGGAATCAGACCAGTTTCTTTTCAAGTGTTGAGTAAAGTATTGTAATGCTGCATGTGGGGCTTCATTCTGTAATACAGCCTGTGCACTGATGACAGTGTTACAGATGACTTTAGTAACCACTTCTTTGTACTAACTTAGGACCTTTTTAAAAGGTAAAAGATCTCAAATGGGAAAAATGTCAACATTTTACTGCCCCCCCCCAAAAAAAAACATGACAATACTGTGTCTAGTGCACAAAACAAGAATGACTGGCTGTTTCAACAGTCCAGACTGTCACCACTCATGTCCCACTTCTGTTATGAAGAGGAGGTGATGAAGGTGTGGGGGTGCAATTTTTCTCTGTCCTCTCCACAATCAGGACATAGATTAAGCATAGTGGGGTGTGACCCAAAAATAGATAGAAATGCTTAAAAATGTAAGTGTGTGTCTGCAGGAGGCTGATCATCTCTGAGTGACTGCTGGGACAGACGCTTCAAAAACAGTCAGAACTTTCACTTGGGTTTAGGAAATGTCGTACAAGTCTGTGTCAGAAATTGAGATCTCAGCTGACATAGGGCGAGAGGTGGTGTCCACCCTGGACAGGCCGCCAGTCTATCATAGGGCTGAGATGTGGGCTGACCACATAAAGTCACACTCAGTCCTATGGGCAATGTAGAGTCGCCAGTCAACCTAAGCTGCATGTCTTTGGACAGTGGGAGGAAGCCAGAGTACCCGGAGAGAACCCACGCAGGCACAGGGAGAACATGCAGACTCCATGCTCGAAACCCAGAACCTTCTTGCTGCGAAGCAACAGTGCAAACCACTGCGCACTTGCCCAAATTAACCTCTTTATTTGAGTCTTCAGCTCTATTTATCTAATTTAACATTAAACCAAGCGCTGACTGTAATGATAACAGCTGCAGTTTATGAACCATAAAAAGAGGAAATCTTCGTTTCACCATCACTACCAGAGACGGAGGAGCCAAATGCAGACACCATCGGGCAGGCCAGCAGGTAAAGTTTAGCAGGTTATTAGATGACCAAGGGAACAGGGTTTGCCAAGAGACCAGGCAGCAAAACTGTGCAGGGATAATCAGAAGCAGGGAGAAAGCCCAAATGGAGGCCAAACACATAAACAGTCTGAGCCAAGCAACAGTCCAGAGGAGCTGACAAGGGGCAAAGTCCAGAAACCAAACATGGGCCAAACATTAGAGCAGCAGGAGACAAATCACAGCTCTCGGGGAGCAGGTGAGAGGCAGGGTTAAAAAAAAAAACATTCCAAACACAGGTAAAGACAAAAACAGCAGGGCATACAGGAACAGACAGGTGGTGAGGCTGGAAGCACAAAGGCTACGGTGCACACATCAGACACACCAGCATCAAACAGAGGAAACAGACAAGCTTAGATAGTGGGTGAGTTAATCAGGGTTACACAGTAAGTTACACAGTGTGTGAGCGTGAAAGGCAGAGCGGTGAAAACCTGGGGATGAATGGAGACTATACGGAGACTGACAACTTCTAGAGCAGTCCAGAAGGAACAGATCCAGCTGAAACATGGGGCCGACTCAGGACCGGGACTGGCACAGCCAGACATGTAAACCCAGAGCCAGCTTTGTGATGCGGGTTATCCAGGGCAGCCAGTGCTGGGCTCAGTGAGGCCAGATAAGGCCCAGCAGGATCAGAATTCATAACACAGGCCTCAAATCCATTTCTGAGTCTTTGTTCCAAAAACATCTTGAAAAGGCCGTGAATAGAAACAAAAATACCTATTGGAGTGGTTTTAGCAGACACTAGATGTATGTTTGCATATGTATGTGATGCTCTCTCTTTGCCCGTCACCTCGTAGCAAAGAAAGAGGCAGATGAAACCAATAAAGAAGCACACAAGGAAAAAAGAAAAGAAAGGAGAGAAGATTGAATGTGGACAGGAGAAGAGACATTTTACTGGTTTAGTAAGGAGCAGTCAGGGAGCTGAACCAAAGCAGATAGTCAGGATGGATCAGAGGGGTTGTCAGAGGAAGGGGAGAGCTGTGTGTGCACGTAGGGTCGGGGTGTTGACAAGAGGGAAGCCTGAGTAATAAAGACAAACGGAAAAGAAATCAATGCCCAGGCCAGAAAGACAAACATTTTGTCTTGATGAAGTGTGGCCCTGCTCTGTAGGAATAGACAGTAAAACATCTAATGACATCACAGCCCAGTCACACAGTGCCAGCGGCAGATTACACAAGACTAAAGACACTGTCATAACATGGCAAGCACAGAAAAAAATCCACGGAGGTAAACATGGATTTGCATTTTGCACCAATCAGAAAATGTTAGCATGCTAACTAAAGCAGGATGTGAACATGTCCAACATTACAGCAGCTTTACATTCACAGGGACCTTGTTAGCACTTGTCTGCACCACTGGGCCACAGTGACAAGCATGACATGAGTATGGCCTCAATTCACATGCAAACTGAAGTAGCCAAAGGTACTTGTAAGCTCTTTGGTAGTAATACTAGGCTTACTCTAATGAAAAACTTGTGCTGTAAAAGTCAGCGCAGAAACAGTGAACTCAGCTGAAAGTTAAGCAGTCTATTGATCATAAAAATTCATACGTGTCTCTTGTTTCGGCCTTTCATTTGAGACCAGAGCACAATGCTTCCTTTTAGCTGTAGCACCAAGTTCAGCTTAAAGGCATTTAACAATTTTCATAACTACCTGCAAACCAGTAGTGTCAGAAACACTGGAGCAGTGACATCGCTCACATGCTGGTGCCACAGGGACCTTCATGCTGCTCATCACAAGAGACAGCTGAGAGTCTTCTTCTCTGGTGTTTTATGGCAGCTGGTACGCTTTCTGTTGCATTGCTGCCACCTTCTGAGTGCATTCTAACACTATTCCTAAATCCTTTGATTGGCCCGGTGTCCTTCAGAGATTTGAAGAGCCATCTTAATCCTCTCCCTTTTCACCCAGTGTCCATAATACTTCTTCCAGTCTTCCACACACCTCCTGCAAGATGTTAATACTGTAGATGTTCTACTCTTTCTAGTCCCTGACATTCCTCACATAACCCAGCTGGACACTTAACCTGCACGTGCTGTATTTGTATTCTCATCCTAGTTCGAGTTACTCGCTCTCTCCCGTTTCCACACTTACTAAACCGGCTACTGTGTCATATACAAATGTTTCCCATTTGTTTCTTGTTCCCAGTACTGTTGTCACTCCTGAATTACTTTGTTCCATACCATACTTTTCCTCTCACCTTTGGAAAGTCGTATGTTAACGACTATATTTGCCTGCTTTATTTCTTTGTTTATTTATTTGCTCATTTATCCACCCAATTGAGTCTCCCCCTCACTATCAAATAAATTAATTCAATTTTCATTTCAATTTTACTTGTATTCACAACAAGAATCATCTCAGGGCACTCTACATAGTAAGGTCTAGACCGTACACTATTACAGGAATCCCCAGTGCCACCACCACATGGGCACAAACAAAGGGCCCACAGTGCTCTTGCACATCTGATTCCCGTCTACTCTTCACCTCTGTGTCGTACTCCCTGCTTGCTCAGCGGATCCTTTGTTGCAAATTTTATAAGCACCTATTTGTGTTATGGCCTTGGCATCAGAGACACTCTAAATAACTTGCCACATACTGGAATAGAGCAACTGGTCAGATGGGGAAGTTCCTCTCATCTGAAGAATCTGCTCTTGCTGCTGAAATGAAAGATGCAGCTGGGAACTCAGAGCTGTAGACAGAAAGCATTATGTCATTCTCACCCCCAAGCAACAACAAGTTTGAGAGGAACTTGCAAACTTTATAATTAGCATTAGGCCATTTATCTGAACTCACAAAGGCTGCCCAAAATAGAACAGGGCCAGAGAACTGTAGCAACAGCTCTGTTTGCTCTGAAAACCCCCTGGATGGCGCGCCCACACAGGTGTGCTCTGTTATGTGGGCTGACGGCACCTGAATATTAGGTGTGAAAAAAAACATGCTTGATTGACACTGTACTAAATCCTTCATCACCACAGAACAGGTTTACTGTGCCTCTTCCGTCAGGCAGGACAAATGATTCTTCTGACCTCAGCTTGGCTGCAGCAAAGCTCCACCCAAAAGGGTCTAATTCACTTTAGTGTAAACACCTTCACCACCTTTCCTCACAGTGCTGTGTGTGGGTCATATATTGTCAATGCGTCCATCCATTATCTATACCTCTTATTCCTGAATAGGGTCATGGGGGGCTGGAGCCAATCCGAGCTGGCATAGAGCGAGAGGCGGGGTCCACCTGGACAGTCTGTCACAGGGCCGGCATGTAGATAAACAACCACACACATGCCTACAGGCAGTTTAGAGTCTCCACTCAACCTAAGTTGCATGACTTTGAACTGTGGGAAGAAGCCAGAGCACCTGGAGGGAACATGCAGAAGCTGCACAGAAAGGCCCTGGGTCAGCTGGGGCTCAAACCCAGAACCTTGTCAGTGCATTCACTATCTAATAAAATGCAAAGCCTGGAGTTTTTAAAGTGGCTTTACTAGAACATTAAGAAATACTGATTGAATGAACAATAAAAAAGGAAATCCAATTTTCCTTAAAAGTTACCATCTTCCCTAACTCCTATGTTTGCCTCCCTAGTAACAATCAGGTAACATGCCCCCCACCCCGTTATTTCGAATCTGACATGTCCATCTCCCACTATACTATAATCACTGTGTCGTAGTCTTATACATAACAGACAGTGAAATGCTGTTTTGTAATAAAAATGACTGAGTACTTCCCTAACATACAACCTTCAAGGTGTTATTTAGGAAGCAAGTGTGTTATGCAAAAGATGACTCATACTTTAATAATGCACCATAATGCATTTCATTTTCAGGCCTGCGATTGTTACGTAAGTGCTGCTATCAACACATGCAAATATGTTTTTGAACTAATCACACTGCGACTACTTTTGTGACTTATTCTGTATTTTAACACTGCTGCATTTAAAACACATTCAGATTCCTGAAAGAACTCATAACACAGTGGAAAGTATTCAAAACTCATATAGTTCTTAATTTTTTTTAAATAATATTGCTGATTGATCGTACAAGTCTCTAGTTTTAAGAACTGTTTTTATTCCTATTTATCTCATTTCAATGAGCATTCCTTTGTTTGTCTGCATTGTTTACTGCCTGTTTATACTGCTTATTCTGCATTGTATGCACATCAGTCTCCTCACCATCACTTTGCCGCTGTAACATCCTCTTATTGAGGTTTCAGGAAATTCATTACTTTTTTAATACCAGGGACTAGATGGCACTCCCACTGTCGCAGCCTCCTTGTGTCCGGAGGGTTAGTCTGATTTGCCATCATTTCAAAACACAAATATATAAACAGTTTAGAAAATATGCACACAGGCAACAACAAAAAAAAAAAAAAAAAAAAAATCTGAACATATTTAATTGAGAGCAACTCTGCTCTTCTCTACGTGCTAATCATGATTAATTAAAGAAAAATTAATTGACTAGGTTAAAGGCACCTTATATCTCCCACAGTGCATTTTGTAAAACAGGCTGTGTAAACAGGGACATATGAACTTTTCATTGTACCATCTGAAATTGTGTCTTGAATTTCTTCTCTTCCCAAAAATGTATACATAGCATTTTGTAATAAGCGGCTTCAAACTGCAGGACAAGCTGTCGTCTTAAGTCATTTAACCATCCAAACACAGCAGTTAGTGCTAATTTTCTGTTATGCACACATCTGCTTTCTAATGAGCACATGTGATAAAAATAAATCAACTAATTGAGGTCTGAAACCAGGCAAGCTTTATTTAAATTTAAAACACTGCTGGCAGATAAAAACCTCACTCCTGCAAAGTGCACATTTTCAGAATGATGAAAACTAACTTATCCAAACTCAGATGAATTATGTTTTTCTTAATAACATAAACACATTGAATAGACGGCATAAAGCACATACAATGTGACTATTTACATCAGATCACAGTTTGAAGAAATGTCTACAGTGAACATTTCAAAAGGTGGTTCACTTCTCCGAGCGCCACATCTCTGCTGTGATGTTTCAGGAAAAATAAACACTGTTGGTTCTGATTTGAGAAACAAAACCCTCAGATGCCAACTACATTAATATACTGTATCTCTGTGTGTCTGTGGCAGCTGCGTGCGCAGTCACTACACAGCGCAGACGCTCAGCTTTGGCAATTTAAACAAACATCTCAAAACATTAGCAAAAGCTCTCAACTCAGCTGCTACGTCACTTCCTGTTTAATTGTTACATAGCAAATATGTGTAAAAGAAGCTAACACCGCAGCTAAAATGCTACACTGTTTTTCTTTAACAGTACCACAGATTGTAAGCATAGCATTTCCTCTCTTAGGCTACAAACAATGCCCTCTGCTGGGCACAGTCGTTAATATGCTACAAAAGAAGCAAGATTTTATTTTGTCACTTCAAGTCTCTGTGCAACAGGAGAACCTCACCAGGGGTCAAACTGAAAACCTCCCGTTCTTAATGTGATTTTGTTTTCTCAGTGTGTAGATGTCAAAAATATCGGGCAACAAGAGTATGTGGACATCCCTGTGGCTCTGGATTGGGCCTGTGCTTCACAGTTTGCATTAACCCCCTTCGTTCCACTTAAGGTGCATCTTACTGCTACAACGTACAGCAAAATATTGCTGTTTCAGTGTGATGACGTCTTTGTGCACAAAGAAACATCTCTCACTGTGGAACAGCTTGACTGTACCATCCAAGACAGGATGAACCAAAACACTGACTGGGATCCAGACCTCATCACTGTCGGAGCACAGTGATGCTTTTGTGGCTGAATAGTAGCAGGTCCCTGCAACCAGGGTCCCAAATTTAGTGGAAAGACTGGAACCAGAGGAATGAAGTCAGAGCAGCCCATTAATGTCCAACAGCCCCATATGGGTGAAGTGTTCAGGTGTCCACAAACTATTGTACCACATACTGAAGAAAGTAAAGTCAAACATTTTCCAAAATAAGTCTTGATTACAATGAAACTACCAGTTGCCACATCTGGAGTGTTGTGAATATATCTGAGTACTCTGAACGAAATATCATTACTATATCTGGACCCAGATTAAACAGGAGGCAAACTGGAATGCAGGGCCGTCTGTCATGGCACACCAAGTCTTCCAGCTTACTTCCCACGTAGGTGTCACTTCTGCTGGATCCTTACACATACCTTAAAATGGTTATTTGTAGCTAAACCTTAATAATAATAATAATAAATAAGAGGAGCTGAAGTTGCTGAAAAAGCAAAAGCAAAATGCCTGAAACATTCCAGTAACATTTTCACATTACTAGCACGTCTTTCGTACTCAGTCAGGTAAATGGAGTTTTACTGGACAGTTTATTTTCTGAAATTGAAAAGATTCAAATGCATTGCAACACAAACCTGTTTTCTCATATCTGCATGTATTATTATAATTCTTACTTCCACGGCAACAGCAGCAAAACTCCAAGGCATCCATTTTGATTGATCGCTGGGGAGAAGGACAGAAACGTCCAGAAGCTCAGCGACTGTGCTCGATGCTTTAAAAGGTCTCCCAGTCATGTCCTCGGTTTCACCGCACAAAATGTTGGACATTCATGTGCAGAGCTTCTCTCTGAAAATACAAACAGCTTAGAAAATTCAATAGCTAAAACACCTAAAACATCCTGTAATATTTACACCCCATGATACAGATGTACAGGATTAAGTTGTCATAACATTTGTTTCAGCCAGAATGGAGGAGAGAGGGAGGAAGGTCCCTATGCATAAACAACTTACCTGTGGGCAGTTGTGTGTCGAGGTCATGGTACACGGGCAGTGGTTGTACGCAACACTGACAAGTAATATTCTTTATCATATTGGTTTGTTTTTCATGAAAAGGGTTGGGAGTAATACAATAACGTTAAACAATTGGAGCAGTACAACACAGGTGTGTTTCCCATAGAAAACTGGTGCTGTGTTGTTGCTTTTAGTTGTGATTCAGTGTTAATGGCCACACACTGCAATTTTGGGTTGTCAACACAAAAAGTAGTACAACATTGTGAGGCACTTACATTGACTGGGTGTTTAGGACATTTGCGACCAAAGACCAAAAATCTGATACTGTAGTATTAGAAATTTAATATCATAGTTTTTCAAAGTAACTACTGTATACCAGCTAATCAGAATACGCCGCAGCATTCGCTGCCAAATATGACATTAACACATTTGTTTATGTTTTCAATTGAGTCATTTTACACATGAATATTTTAGTGTAGTAGTCCTCGTACGATGAAAGGGCATGATATTGTTGTTTTTGTGGAATGACAGCGCTGTGGGAGTGATTCAGCTTCCTGTTTCCTGTGCCGCTTCACACTGCTGCCTGTGTATCATGGCCCTAATGATGAATGTACCCATCAGAAACCCCACAAATGTCTTGTTGCCTCTAATCAGCTCCTAATCACTCCTCCCTTCCTATGTTCCCTCCCAGCGTGTTAAACGTTTTGTTAAGCGTCTGTCTTCGTCTAGGCTGAGTCATCCCTCCGCCCACCTGCCTTTCCTCCCTCATCTTTTCTTTGCTCCTCTCTCATCTTTTTCTCCTTAAACCTCCCTCTGTCATCCACTCCGCTGCCTCCCTCCTCCCACACACTTCTAGGGTTCAAGATTTGTGTTTGTGTGTGTGTGTGTTGTTTTGTGGTGTGTAGATGTTGTAACACAGCCAATCTAATCTCCCCAGTTGTGTAATTTCTCCTGTTCCCAACATATGGAGCCTAGCATGGCGAGGCATTCATTCGCATTAGCGTGTGGTAGCGGGGAGGAGGCACAGCAGAAGGCGGCACCACCATTGGCATGGACTGGGGTGGGGGTCCACTCGGGTGGGGGTGAGGCTGAGGGTGACCGTGGGAGGCCCTGGGTAGGGTGGAGGTGGTGGCTGGGTGAAGGGGGTGTGGATAGGAGGAGGAGGTTGAGGAGGAAGAGGCCGGCTGGAGCTGGTAGCTAGCCGCTGAGGAGGGCCCAGAAGAGGAGGGCGTTGGCTGGGAGCTGCTGCCACCCTTGGTAGCAGGCTGTGGAGGTGGAGTCTGATTAAGCTGGATGGAGATATCGGAGGAGACGTCAGAGGCACTGCGGCCCCTCTGTGTTGGAGGCCAGGAGTCAGGATGGAGGAACTGGCCACTGTAGTCGCTGCAGTCGGACATGCGGGGGCGGTAGAGGGCGGGGTGAGGCCTGTACAGCTCCTCTTCAGTGTAACGCTTCATGAAGAGGTAGACGGACATCACTCCTGCTCCCTGGGGGAGAGAAGGATACATGCAGTGTTGTGAGTACATATTCTGGATTGTGAATATCTATGTAAAATAGTTTGACTTAGACCTGATCTATGTGCATCTTTATTTGTTATAACTCACAGGTGAAGTTATGTTTTTGGTCCAGTTCATTTTGCTTGGTAATTATCAAGAGTTAATTTAGAATCCAGATTTTTTTTTTATCACCTCTAAACAGTATCTAATGATAATCTGGCTTGTTTTCATTGTTCTTGTTTTATGCAGTGTTTCCAACCGAAACCGTTCTCTGGGTATACTTTCTAACATCGAGTCATGCAAATACACTTGATCAGACAGTTAAACAGATTCATCAAACAATGTTCAGAATGTGCTGGAAGACAAAAACTGATGTGGAGCCCTCTGTTTCTATCCAGTTTGAATCAACATCACTGTTACCACAAAGATTCAAATGAGCAGTTTTCAGCAAATTCCCAAGTGCACAGAGCTTTTATGAAACACCAGAATCAGCACCATCCCTCTCCCTAAACTACAACACGCCGCCACCAGGGGAAAGAAATGTAATAAATCCATAATAATTTTGCAGACGGTTGACAAAAAGGCTGTGGTGCTCCTCAGTGGAATGAGCCATTATCACAAATATATTCATGTTTCCACCCAGGCATCCGCTGAGCGTTCACGGCTCCTTCTCTATTCATCCGCATCATCACCGACAGAGCCGCACTGAAACTTGAGAACTGTCACCAACATGTGTATGTGTGTATTACTCATGCTGTTCACACAATCACACTGTGGGGACTCAACATCCTTATGAGGACAAAAATCAAGTCCCCCAAACATCAATAATTATATTTTAGAGTGATGAATTGATTTAAGGTTAGGGTAAATCTCCACAAAGCAATATAAGTCAGTGGGTGTTTCTCAACTCTCTTTATGATTATTCCTACACCCTCAGTCCTCAGTCAATGCAGAAGTCGTTCTGATTGAAATTCTGGCTTCTGGAGGAGCCGTGAGTGAGGATACACAAGACAAGAAGCTTTTCATGAACCGACACACTTCTTTAACAGGAATGAATTGGTGACTGGATACTTCAGATGAAGGACAGGACACATCACGTTGTTAACGTGTGAACACATTAACAGGTTTTCATGAGTCCTCCCTTTTCACATGTTCCTTGCATTTTCTCCTCACATCTTATGTGGGTGGAATGGGCAAAGAGAAAGTGTCTTTACATGTGTGACTGCGAAAAATTCCTTGACTTAAAAAATAAAACAAGAACAGTTTAGAATAACTGTAGGAAAAAAGAGAACAAATAGAGGGAAAGA